ATATAATGATTTATCCAGTGTCTAATTATTGAAATCTATTACATGTTTGTAAGCCTGCTTTTTAACTCCTATCATAACAAACATTGTCACTTATATTTGATTCAGTAAAATATATTTTGCATTTGGACTATTTTGCAGCACTTTCATTGTTCAGTCTGCTTTATTCGTTCCTTTGGATAAAACTACCAAATCTGAGCTCAAAAACACGTTTCAGTACAATAATTTGCCAAATTTCACGAATTTTTAAAGGAACTAACATCACGTTTAAAAAACGGCCTTAACATTTTTAAAATGGTGCACTAAGAGTCTCAATAAAAGCTCTTCTTTCCACTTCGTCCTGAATATTTGCGGTCCGTTGCGTTTTTTTTTTCCAGGTTGTAGTTAATCTTGGCTTCGCGTTTGCACCAGCGTGCCAACCGCGGCGCACCTTCCAGCGTTTGAAGTCTGTTTTAGTGACAATCAAAACGTCTGCAAAATGGTTCAAATGAACCCATTTAGGGTTCCAAAATTTGACATGAAAATCTCGCATTTTATTTTATTTTTTCCATACAGGCGGTGCGCATTTTTTTGCACGAGTTATTTATTTAAATGCAGCTTATATTTCAAGATCAAAATGACACATTACTGAAAGAAAAGCGCTCCTTCAAAATGTTAAATCTAAGACACCATTTCCTTTTCAGCTTCCCCACAAAGGCTCCTGTTCCTCTCTTGGACATTTGATCCAGAAAGGTAACTAAATACACCGATTAATAACACGCGCGCGGTTTGTTTTTGGGGCCCGCACGCGCCATTCAGTCTCGGGCTATCGATATCKTTGTGTTACAGTTATTAATTGTCGCTATTAAATCTTCATTTCCACAGCTGCCGCGTTGTTACGTCCTGAAAACACTTTACTCCGACCACTGGCTTTGATCAGGCCCATATAATCGTGGCCGAGGAGGCCGTTTGAGTCGGATCATGTTCGTCCTGAGTGCAGTTATGAACAATAATGCGGCGTTTTATTACATCCAGCGGAAGCATTTATTTTTCACGAGAGACAAAGGAGAGAGAGAGAGTAGAGGGAGAGAGGAAGRCTCGGTCCAAAATAGCCACTATACTATTGAACTGACACCAAAAAGTTCAGCTAGCAGGAAGGAAAAAGCGGATGAGCGCCATCAGCCTCTCTAATAACAGTATTGGTGCGCGTTATGGCACGCACGGAGATTTCCAGGAGCGCGCAATGAGGATTTTTTTGAAGAAGAAGAATGCTGTGATTGAAGATGAATCACAGGCTCCTAAAATAAACCAAATGTTTTGGTAGTAAAAACACACAGACACAAAAAAAAAGAAAAAGAAAAACAGACACACACAAAAAAAACGTGACATTTTCTAATCAATTAAGGTGGATTTTAATCCAAAACATTTGCTGTTGAACTTTCCAGGTGGCTCTGCTATTCTTAAACCATTAAAACCGTCCAGCACAGCAAAATGAAAAGCACGTGCAGCACGAAGTCTTGGCACACATGTGTTCCCTTTTTAGGAGTTCTAAGGGAGTTCGTCCTGCACCGCACCAGAAAGGAAGCAAACAATCGAATGCAAAAGATGAGCAAAAATAATTCACTCATTCAATCTTTCTTTAAAAAGTTAACTTCTGTAAAAGCATTTAAGGTTTGATGTTTTCTTTGCAACTTTTACCTGGGTTCCCTTTGACCAGAAGATCCAAGGCCATGACTTTGGTCCCAATAGCGCCGCCCGGTGGTAGGAGTGTGAAACCCCATCGGTGCTCCTGAGCTGAATCCAGTTAGGGCAACAACAAAAAAAAAAAAAAAACTTCACGAAGGGCAAGAAGCCTCCCAAATGAAGTCCGTGCAGGCAGCGCGCAAAGACTCTTCCGAATCCGTCCCTCTGCTTGTCATGGCTGTCGCCTCCTTGGAAACACAGTTAATAACCTTGGGTCTCAGACGGTTTATTGCACCAACACTCCAATTGTACAAATGCTCCAGACTCGCAGACAGCTTTTATGGCCGCGTTGCTGCGGCAACGGTGGGAGGATGTACCGTAATTAGGGACGGAATTCCAGCGCGCAGTAAAGGATGCGCGCAAGGCAAGGCCGGACTATGGCAGAGCAGAGGCAACCATAAACTTCAGCCTCTCTCCCAGCGTTTATGGCCCTTTTGACTGTCATATATGAACGCCAATGCGCTGCGGCCAGCCCTCGTAAACACTGCGATAACAACAGCAAATATGGCGACCCTCGCCAAAGGAGGCTGCTGTTGAACGAGCGTTTCCAGCTCTAGTCAGCAAGATGACAGCTTGCGGTGCACAGAACGACAGAAACTCCCAGAGACAGATCGGCAACGTGCTGCTTAGATCAATAAAGTAGATTAGGAATGGTGAGATTGGAAGCTTTGCTGCGCATCAGTTGGATATTTGCGCAAAGAAACCTAGTTCGAAAATTAAAAACAATTAAAACCAAGTCAAGCATTTTTTTAATATATGCTGTTTTACGACATTTATTAATGCACAAATTTAAAACAAATAGTTTTTCTAGTTTTACGTTTTTTAACATATCAAGGATTTAGTGGTAATCAGAAATCCAGTGTGTGTGTGTGTGTGTGTGTGTGTGTGTGTGTGTGTGTGTGTGAGATTGGGGAGTTCACATCTAATCTTTTGCACAACCAGTTTTTTGTTTGTTTGTTTGTTTGTTTGTTTGTTGTGCCCAAAGCGATCCGGATTACAGAAACCTTTTTCTGCAAGCGCGTGTTCAATCTGCCGTTTTGCGCGTAAAACTGGCGCGTCTTTGATCCATCACGCACAACATATATCTAAAAACGGGAAAATGCACATTATTTAGAACTTAACAAGACAATAGGATTATGTTTTTGTTAGGTTTTCGTGATTTTATTTGGAAATATAATATAATACACAATAATGTGGGCATACCAAGCAGTTGATTCAATGCGATGACCCTGAATGCGCACTTGAAAATTTCAACGATATTTTTTTGCACTTTTATACCACAAGTAAACAAACTTATGGTTCTTTAATCTTTATGTAATTAACATTAGAGCCCATAAGACAAAAAAGGGGGCCCGCAGCGTATTTACGCGCCACACCTGTGTGAATGTATTGTAAGTCAGTGCAACTCAGCGCGGACCCAGCTTATGTCTCTGGTTTTGGCCTGCACCGATAGTTTTGGAAAATAGAAAATAAAACAAAAAAGCTTCAAGAGATATGAAATATATTGCTCTCTTTCTCTCTCGCTCTCTTTTTACACAGGCAATATTAGAGACAACAAAAAGCTGGTTTGGAGGTCAGCTCCGACTCCCAGCAGCCCTCTTGTAATTGTGTCGTGGACAGCAATAAATGAGAGCAAACRAGTGGCTACAAATAAATAAAGCACAAAACAGAAACACATGATTTTGGTCACACCAGTTGGATTTCACCTAAATTCTCTTTTTTTCTGATTTTACCAACAGACACAAATAAACAATTTAATAAATCTTTTGATTACAAAATACACTGAAGCAGTCAATTAATAACTGCTAGTTTGTTTTTATACCCCGCATGGATTGAAAACAAAAACAAAAAAATCATTCAGCTATGGCTTTCGCCAAATCYTATTGGGCAGCAGAGAAAACGGTTCCAGTTCAAAGGATTTCATATTGTCCTCGAACTTGAAATTAACCGTCGAGAGTGCGTTATTGCTGCCGACGCGGCCATTGTGGCGCACAAAGTCCAATTTACAGGAGAGTCAGTGAGTCTGTAAACGTATCCCCACGCAGCGGGGGGGACCACCGGAGCTGCTCTCGTGGCCTCCCTCCCCCCCTCCGCCTAAAGCAGAGGATTGGACGTGTAGTACTGTARTCTGTCCCTGTTCAGCTTCTTCTCCTTCATGCGGCGGTTCTGGAACCAGATCTTCACTTGTCGGTCGGTGAGGTTCAGCATCCGGGAGAGCTGGAGCCGCTTCTCCTTGTTGATGTAGACGCTGAAAAAGAATTCTCGCTCCAGTTCTCTGATCTGATATTTGGAATAAGGGCACCTCTTCTTGCGGATCCTCTGTCCACCTGTAAGTCACACAAAAGAGGACACCAGTCACAAACGTTGCTTCTCTTTTTCTTTTCCCCCCTACGATGAACTAAAAATATTAAAACGCTTTTATTCTCCATATTTCACACATAACAGAAAAAAACCAAACCATTACACGAGCTTAACGCACTATAACGTTATTAATAAATATAAACAAGCTTCCTTTATTGTGCAAAGCAGCAGATTGACGCACCAGAGTAGTTTATGAAGTTATTGCTTGTTCAGAATGTAAAAGAAAATAAAAACAACAAATAAGAAATTGTGTGATATATTTAACAGCATGGTTTATGTGTGTTAAAACCCACACAGGCACCATTGTGACATATTAAGACACTAAAAGCGCGTTCGAGTTGAATAAAAAAAATGAGAATAACGTGTTTTCTCCAGAAACTTCAGGGGACAAGACCAAAAACTAAAAAAATAAAATAAACATCACCGACCTGGTGTCTTTCACGGCCAATTTCAACTCCAAACACGTGATCCTGCAGTTTATAACAAAGTTTTGTTGGGGGGTGGGGGGATGGGGGGGCTCTACAGGCCCTCTATAAACCTTATATGCTTATAAAACAGCATATAAAATGTTTAACAGCGGCGCGCAAGATTGCAAACTTTCTCTCATAAGCAGGGCGCTGACTTTAAATACGTACTGCTGCTGCTGCTGCTGGATTTCTCCTCATTGTTGCCGGAAGATAACTCGGGGCTGCTGGTTTCCTCCCGCTGCTCCTTCGCCTCGGAGTCCCGGCAGGACGGTGCCTGCTCCGGCTGCTTGGCGCTCGTCCTGTCCCCGGAGGAGAGGGCGCTCGCCGCGGAGCTCTCCGACGCGTTCCCGTACGCCGTCTCGTAGAACTGGTCGAACGCCTGCGGCAGCACGCCGTTCCTGCCCACGTTGCCGTAGAAGTTGGTGGCGGCGGAGGAGGCGGCGGAGGCGCCCGTGTGGTGGTGGTGGTGATGGTGGTGGTGGTGGTAGGCGGCGGCGGCGGCGGCAGCCGCGGGGCTGCTCTTCCCAAACACGTCCCCGACGACGGCGGTTTGCGCCGACAAGCAGTCCCGGTGCACCATGTCCTCTGCGCCCGGGTAGCACTGGGCCAGATTGCCCCGGTGTGCCCACTTCCCGGACGCCTCGATTCCCGCATAGTCCCTGAATGTCACTTCCCTGACAGGCTGGACCTGCGGCAGGTTAGAGGAATACGAATAAGTCATGGGGCGCGTGGAAGGAGTCTGGGACAAAAACGAGGGAAGACCGGAGAAATCAGCCCCGGCTGACACGTAATAAGTGCAACTGGGCAAATACATGTTCGATCCGACGGGGACCCGTTCGTCAAAATCCATCATGTCGACGAGCGGAGCCGCTTCTTAGGCGTCTTGGCTGSGCTTCGGCTCCTCTAGAACCGCCCTGAACATGGCTCTGAAGCGCCGAGCCTCCGAGCCTCTTTCAAGCAGGCTCGGCAAGCAGAAATTTGGAGACGTAGGCTGACGTGGAGAGCCCATCTCCATCTACTCCACTGAGGAGGAGGCCACGTGACCACGCGGCAGAAATTGACAGATTTTCAGACGCTGTGTGTGCGTGGGGGACGCGCGTGCGCGGACGCCTCTGGGTGTGTGTCTGTGCGCGCTTTGGAAAGAGGAAGAGGAGTGAGGAGACATGACTGCTGCGTGTCAAAAAGCTTTATATTAGTGGTGTAATGTTGTGTCAGATTCGAAAAGATTCATTTGCATGAAACAGGACGAGGATAAGATTTGCTACACTGTGATAGAACTAAGAATAATAAATTTAAGTAAACATATTAATCTAAAAATGATTACATGCATTTAAACTAACCCAATAGAAATGCAAAAACTTCATGCATTTTTCTTTTTTAATTCCACAATTTTTCCTGTGATCAGGACATCATGACAAATTGCTTCTGCACTAAGTTTCCCGAACCCTTTCTGACAATACCATTAACTGAACCAACAGGCTGTTACAGTGTGGAAAGAACCCAGACCTTTATTGGATGAAGGAGACAAGCAGCTTATTTCTAAAAGGTTGCTTTTAGAGTTCGCCTTAGTCATCATCATTTGGTACTTTTACAGCACAGCATTTGGCTCAGTGAGCATTTGGTTATCAGGGTCATGTTCAAAGTAGCGGCTAATGTTGCAACCGGAAAACAGCCCTGCGTGATCTGATATGTTCATCTGAAAAACTAAAACTTTACGCAAATTAAGCACGCGAGTCATTTTTTATAAATCCGCAAGTTTGACCTAAAAAACATAATACATTTAAATTATTTAGCTTTCTCAAGAAAATATGTCTTAGTAACTGTATAAGAATAAAAAGAAATGTGCCGTGTTTTCTGGTCGTTCAGCAAAAACAAAAAGTGAACCTTTTTGTGGAAATTACCAAAAATTAACGTTTGTCTTCTGCTATCAACATTAAGTATCTTCCTGTACTTTTGTTGTTTTAATTTGCCGAAAAAATGGAAACAAAAGTTTATTAATATAAAATAATTGTCCCACGTTTTAGTTTTGACTCATGTTTAAGTGTTATTAGTCCACGTGCAGCTTTAATTCACGTTCGCTCAACTTTTACGCACGGCTGAATCGCCACGTTTGTGGCAAAATAAAAAATCGAATGTCTGCTGTTTCGCGAAGAGACAATTCTGAGAAATTACTAAGACAGCCCGCAGTCCTGTTTTGTAAATTCTTTGCTCCAATTTCACGTTGTTACATATTTATTCTTGCAAAGAACCCACGTGCATGTTGTGCGTAAAATCTAAAGGACGCTTGGCGAAAAAATATAGCTCCAACTGGTAAAAATATATTGTCTTGTAAAATTGCAGCCTTTGCGTTTGTGATTTAAAGATACATGTTGAACAACAGCATAATGTATTAAAATATTCTGTTTTATGATCATGAGCAAAAATATTTAAATATTTTTGGTGCAACAAATTGTCATGTTTGTTACAGCGTCTTAATTTATCATAAGAATACAGTTTATGACATGGATACAGGGGCTAGAGGTACATTTAAATCTAAAATGTTTGTGTTTGACTTTGTTTATTTTGTACTTTTCTTATAAGCTGAATATGTGGACGACAACGTGGATTTTTGTGGTTCAGACAACATTTGTGCATCCGAGGTTGACTCCCAATTGAAGCAAAAAAAAAAAAACAGAAAATTATAGGAAAGTAATTTGCGTAAATGCATTTCTGCTAGTTGATTTGGTAAAACAGGCCATGCACTGCACATTCCCCGGCTCCCTGCTCTGCTCTTGGGCCACCATGAAGCCAGTTTTAGAGCGGCTGCAACCTGACTCTAATATGCTGTGAATGAGAGACCTGAGCTCGGATTAAGATCACCGCGGCTGGTCTGCGTGGCCCCCACAGCCCGGTGCTCGTACAGGACGGGTGGCATTCAAGGGTATGAAAAACAACCTTGAAATATCACGCAGTCTAACACTCAGTGAGAACCCACAGACGCCGAGTGTATCAAAACATGTAAAACCGTTTGTGGGGGGACACACAAAACGACTTTCGGCTCTCGGTCAATCCAGACAAATTCCACCAACTTGTTCTGAAGCTTTTCCGCCGTAATTGAGGACAGGATGCCCAGGAAAACCAGCTCTGCACAGACCTGCGTTTTTATAGCTGCTATAGTATTCTAGTGCGCCTTCTCCCCCCACCACCAGACACACAAGCCAGACAGACACTACAAAACTGACCAGGCGTGATAGGAAGTCGCCACCTACGTGGTCTCAAAGTCAGGCTGAGGGAAATTCAATAACAGATAGAAACATTTGTCTCCACGAAGACAAGGTAAGTCCTCTTTTACACTAAATCAGTTATAGTTTCTGGGTTTAAAACGAGCTTTTAAATTCGATTTAAATAAATGGAGACTAAGATCTGAGGTCCAAGTTTATGACAAATGTGTTTTTTATTAAAAGAAAGCCTCTATGCGGATCCTCTGGTCTGCGCTCCTGGTTTTGGTTCTGGTGCAGAACAGACCTGCAGCCTGGCGCTGCGTAAAAAAAAAAAGCCCCTCAAAGCCAACGCTTTGTCTGTTTACGGTCGACTTCAAGGTCGGGGGAGGAAGAGAGGGTCTTTCACAGAGAGCAAGGGGCCCGCTGTGCCCCGGATGGAGTTAGATTAATTACCTCTTTGCATCTACTCAGGCTAGCTTGCGAGTTTGGTTAAAAATGTGGGAGTCTGGAACCTCCAAATTCACAACAAGAAAACAGAAAATGAACTTCACCTTCGGACTGATCATGTTTGCATGTTTCAGCTTTATTAGAATTTAATTTTATATAAAAATAAGTAAAACATTCAGAGTTTTTCTCACTAAAATGCACCTTTACCAGTAAATATCGTGCATTTTTAAGTTAATATCTAAGGAAACGGCATTAATGTGTTTTTATCCTTCAACTCTCAGTCTGTTTGAGGTTTTGCTAATAAATAACCGAAATAGACCACTCAGTAGATGTCTGTATTTACTCAGGCACATTGTTTTATCCTCCTATAAGCCTGTCTTAAAGGGTTAGAGTTATATATTAGCTGTATTTATGCATTAAAACTCCAAACGTGCGTAAATACGCACATACTTAACAGGAATCAGGCTCCTAAGTTGAGAGTTCGGACCGACAGGAGCGCGGTGGTTTGGGCAAAGAAGTGAATGCGACATCTAGATGCTCTCATTGTGCCATAAAACGCATCAGACAACAAGTAAACAATCAAGTGGTGGATGGAAGGGTTTGAAAGTACAGTTTAACCACACGTCAGGTAGGCCCAAAGGCTGTGAATGAGGCTAAATGGATGCATTCAGTCTGCTGCAGAGACACCTCCTGTAGTTCCAGTCTTTCAGTCAAATAAAGAGGCCATACTAAAGGCTCGTTTTAAGAATGAAAACTAAAAAGGTTTCATTTGGATTTAAGATGCAGAGGAATTCTACGAAGATTCCGCAAAGAGGACCGAAAGAAGACCGACTGAAAGTAAAATAAATGGAGGGGATGAAAAATAGATTTTAATTGCCACATGTTCTCCAAAAGATCCAAAATGAAAAGCGCACCTAAATCCTGAGAGTCCAAAATATTTTTGAAACGCTGTTGAACTTGAATTGGGATCAGACTGGTGGTCCGGGGGGCTCTTCATCGCTTCAGCAGGGCGGGAAAACAAAACAAAAACTCGGAGCGCAAACTGAGAGAGTCCTGCTGATGCGTATCAAACCAAATCGGAGCCATGGATCCAAAGAGCAAAACTGTTGATTTATCCACAGGTGACAGGAGCGCGAGCCGGCGGGACGTGGAGACGACAGAAGGGGAGGCCGGGCCGGGCCGGGCCGGTGGACCACACAAGGGAGGGAAACAGATCAACTCCACGGTCAACTGGAGCCCCTCTGGCGGCTGGAGCGGCGGAACAAAAGGACCTAAAGTGGACTTCATGGGGAATAAATGGACATTTACTRAAAGAAATACAGATCACAGAGTGAGCTACAATATATGTGTGATCACTTTACCAATTTATCGGAATAGCTTCAGAGAAACTGAATCTTCARTTAAATTAATTGCTTGCTCAAAAATCTGTTTTTAAAAATGTGTTTATTTAAAATTTCACTGCTTCAAAGGAAATAAAATATAAATGCATTWATTTGCTGTTAAAATTCAGATCTCGCGATATTTGACTTCATTATAATCCTATTTCAAAACAGCAAAATTGGGGACAAACGTACACTGCTACAAATGCTTTTCATGCTTTTTGAAATTCAGAAACTTGGCGACCTTAAATTTTGTGCTTATTTTAATTTATTTTTATTTGTATTGAAATATTTCKGATCTTGTAAATAAATTAAAAGCTTCGCGTTCCACATATGCAAACCCAATATTATTTGTGGGTGTCAGAAAAGACAATTAATTTAAAACCATTATATTCTTTAATTAAATTAAAGCATCGGGGATTAACAAAAACAATTAAATAATAATAACTGCAGTTACTTTACCGCAAAAAAATAATCTCCTTACTTTTTACGCATCTATTTCCGCTCCAATCTCTGTTTATTTGCGCACCGTTCTTGTATTTCTTTAGGGGTTAGGCWCGTGAGTGCAGCTTTTCTAACACACTTAACAACCTTAAAGAAACATTTATAGTTTGGTGTCATATCCAAGCTAAAAGCAGGTCTCCTGGTCCCGGAGCAGGATGTGGGGACGCGTCAGGCGCTGAACGGAGCACACAGAAGGGCTTTCACTGAAGTTTCTGTAGAGCTTGTGTTCCGCTGAGGTCTTTGTGGTCCAGTTACAAGATGTTCCTGAGGTTTGGGGCTGGAGGCTGCAGGCCTCGGAGACACCGAAGGTCAATGTAAAGAGCAGCGCGCGCGCGCTCCTGGCCGCGAGCTCAGCACTGATCCGCACGGTTAACACGCAGCTTCGGTCTGGTTGCATTAGTCAGGATATTCAGTTGTTTTTACACCATTTACTTTTTTATTATTTAAAATAACATTCATGATTTTTTAAGTTTTATGATTTGACCTTAATCTTGACAAATCCTGATAAAGTTGAATTTCCGTTATTTAAAAAGTTGACTCAAATCCCACAATCAATTTTTTCTTGTTTTTATGACTGAATTTWAAAAAAAATGCATGAATCAGTTCAAAAGGTTGTTTCAAAAATATTATTTCAGTGTTTTTTTTCTCTTAAATAAAGTGTAATTCCCTGTATTTCCTTAGTGTGGCAGCAGAATTCTATTCTTCAACCGAACCGAGCCTCCGCCGCACCKCACCATCCTCCTGTCCAATCAGGGATGGCCTCATGAAGGAGCGGGGAGGAGGCGGAGCTCCGGGCTGCAGCTTCCGGACTGTCGTTAAACGTCACATTCACGAGGCGGGACTTGTGGGTTTATTTTGGTTCATGCAGTACCAATGAAAGGCTTCTCTGCCGCTTTGCAGCCAATAAGGTGCCTCTCACATGACGTCACTGCAGCGCGCATCCGCCTTTGTTTTCTTTTTTGTCTTTGAGGTTTCATGTTGCGCAGAGTAACACATCTTTCATTTTTCTCCCATCTTTGAGCTGGCCCCCTTAAAAAAAAAAAAAAAAAACACGTGCGCGCTCCTTTTTCCCACGGCAGAGCT